GAATCCTTCTGGTGCCAACTAACAGACTAAATGTCCTGTTTCTTTGTACCCTAAATCTTTGTATGTGACTGTCATATCCCACGTGACTGCTAGTTCCTTGGGATGTATAAAAACCATCTAAATTCTAAAATAAATCATCTTGTTGGGAAGACACAGGTCCCAGACTTTGACTCTGTCGCCGATCAGACCTTCTGCCCCGAAGCCAGCAGGTCCCCTGCTAAGCAAAGCAAACCTGAGTCCCTACAAGAAACCTCATGGCTTGTCCCATCCAGAAATGTGAGGTTCCAGTGTACTTTCTTTAGAGTGGTACCCTTGGTGGCATGGATGTTAGTAATGTTTCCAAAATGAAGATTGAATTGGAAAAGTCAGGTTAAAAGTTGTTTTGTTGAAAAGAAAGACTAATCTATGTTAGCATAGATTAAAAGAAACCAGTGGTAAATGCTTTAAAAACATATGTAATTCTAAACTGAAACAGACGTATGAATCTGCTCTGAACAACCTCCCAAGAAACTGAAACTAAGGGGTAATGAATTTTTGCTTAAGTCTCCTTCCTTCAGTTTCTCCATCACTCACCACACCACCTGACCAGCCTCACTCAGCATAGAATCTCCTTTTTCCTCATGGATGCTCTTGCTCTAGAATTTCTAAGTGAAAAGGGTAGAAGATTATCCTTGAGATATACGATTTGGCAGTAGATGATTGGAGAGAGTAAAGTAAGTTCTTGCAAGATTCTAGATCAGTATGCACAGACTTCAGAAGAATTTTTTCTGACATTATACCAAAGAGTGTTTTGATTCTTTAGTGACTTATTTCTTACAAACTCGGCGGTAGCATAATTTCAATAAGGACTGAAGGCTTTGTAGAAAAAATATGATTATGCAGAAAAGAAGGCCACTGAAACCAGGGTCACTTCACAGACTTATTACTAATCATACTAATTACTCGAGTCTTCCACCAGTTACCCTTAGAGTTCTACTTGCTAAACACAGTGCAAATGAAGACGAAGAAAGGAATTTCGTGATTTTTGTTTCCGTCCTAGGATTTTCACAGTGAGAAGACAGCAAGGTGCAGTTGGAGTTGATTGGTATTTGGTTTTGATTTTTTAAAATTATTATTTTAAATTACATGTAGGTGTGTGTGTGTGTGTGTGTGTGTGTGTGTGTGCAAGTGAATGCTGTGCCTACAGCCAGAAGATGATGTCATATCTTCTGGAGCTAGATGGCTGTGAGCTACCTGACATGGGTGCTGGGAATTGAACTCAGGTCTCCTGCAAGAGGAGCAAGTACCCTTAACTACTGAACAATAGCTCTAGCTCTCACTTTTGTTTCTTATTAATGATTTTCTAGTCTGCCTTAGGGTCATTCTTGTGATTAGGATATATTGGTCCTTAGGAAAAATGCATTTATAATATATCATGGACTAAAAGTTGAGAGAGAGAGAGAGAGAGAGAGAGAGAGAGAGAGACTTATTCTTCTCAGCATAATAATTTAATGATGAAGTCTTTGTTTTCTGAAGCATAACTTGATAATGGATACTGCCTTTTATGAGATTATGAGATCATCAAATACATACCAATATTCAGGTATTATGGTATTATGAAGTACAGCTTTGACATGAATGATCTTTTTCTCTTAAAACCAACTTCTACTTCAGTAATGTCCTTATCAATCATCCTAGTCAGACTTGAATCATAATAAAGTTTTCCCTAGCCTGGAAAATAATGCCAGTTGACCTTGCAGACCCCTTCACCTGTATTAGCTCCAGCTTCTCAAGGCAGACATCTTTGAAAATCTCCCTCCTATCCAGAGGGCTTCTGTGGGGTTGTTAAGAACCACAATGATGTCACCCAGTCAGAGCAAGGCCTCTCCACTTCTACTGAGCCCTCTCTTCTCACATCTGGCTTTGCACACACACACCTTCTCTTTTTCCTGCTCTGTCCTGACTATTCCTCTCCTCTTCTTGCCTTTCTCTTTTTCTTTGACCTCATTCAGAGTCAGGGGATTGGAACTTCTGTGAGCCTCCCTGTCTTCCTGAGCTGGTTTTCTCCATCTTCTCTGACACTACATTCTCTCCTGGGTCTTTAGAGATGGAGTCAAACAAAAAAGAAAGAAGGAGAATGGGAGGAGTTCCTATCAGGCCTCAAAGCACCCAAGAATCCACTACCAGAAAACTCAGAAAATAAATTCCATAAAACTCAGCATTGCTGTGGAAAGTACTAGGAAACAGTCATGAAACTGTTCCCTTTCCTTCTTACCACATGGGATCTTTAGCAAGTTTCCCCCTGTTTGGAGCTTCCTTCTCTGTTGAGAATGCATGTGGCCTATGTGAAGTTACAAATGAGAAAGTGCTTGGTGACCTGTGAAGTTCTCCATCAATGTGCCACGGGCACCATCCCTTCATTCTCCCATCACCACTAAGGTGCTCACTAGTGGCACCATCTTCCACATCACTTATTTTCCATCTCCTTCCCCCAGAGAACCTCTGACTAGAGGCCCAGGTGCCACGATTTATGTTTTGAATGGCTGGCCCCTTCTTCCTCCACCCCCTGGGTCTGTCAGAAAAGAGATTTAGCATTGTCAGAGTGAACTGAAAGGTGAAAATAAGAGCTCTAGGACAGGTTCCTTCCACTGACTCAGTCATAGAAAGCGCCCACAACTAGATTCACTCACCATCAAACTTGCTGCATTCCTCCATTAAGTTGTTGAAGGTGTTTTCATGTTGTAGCCGCACTTTTCTTCTCTCAGAAGCCAGAGCATGTTCTAGTTGATCTTGCTCAGTTAGAAGTGCAACAGGCTTTAAGTGGATCTAGAGAAAGAGAATTTCTATTTGAGTTTATCAATCATTGCCTTATTAAATTAGAAATTTAGAACATGAATTTTTGAAAAACAAATGATGCATCCTATGTTTTAATTTAAGTAAATATAGCACTTTATGGGCATTTTAATCAAATATTAATTTTCAAGTATTTTCAATTAAAAATCAATGGAGGATTAATTATTTCTTCATATGAGAAGATATGCATTTTGAAAACTCTCCTTGCTCATTTTTCTTGAATTTATAATTTTTCAATAGAACCATAAAATATAAAACTGTACAAAATATGAGCTCAGTGAATGAGATGAAAGGCTGTAATTCCACTGAACTTTTTTGAGGCATTTTTCCTATAATTTGTAAAATTAAGACATTGAGGGGAGGGGAAAATGATAGTCTAGAGAAAGCTATCTTATACCAAGAGATATTCCCAATTTGGAAATATTATCACATTACCAAAACAATATCTAAGCTGGGCATTGTGGCACACAGCTTTTGCCCCAGTACTCTGGAGACAGAGACGGGTAGATTTCCAGACCACCTCAATAAAAGTTCAGTGGGGCTACAGAGAGACTGTCTCAACACACACACACACACAAAGGCTTAATATTTAAGAGGCAAACTGTCAGAATCAATGTGCCAGTGTAAAGCTTTGACTGACCTCCAGAAACCTATGACACAACAGTACCTAGCTCAAGATCCCCCATAGATGCCCATGTGCTGGCCTTGTGTGTGAAAGGTCTGGGTGATTCTAGGACACCTCCAGTCTGAACCTGACCTTTCACCCAGATAAGGGTGAAAGAAGTTAGTGATTCATAATGTGTGGCTTAAAGTCCAAAGCTCCCTGGACTGCCTATCTAATTTGTCAGGAATGTGTAGACTGACAGCTTTCTTTGGTTTAGCTCTTTATGTTGTCTTATGGTTGCATGGCCAGCAGGATGTAAAAGGCAGTGGGTTTAACTGGCACCTTGGCTTTCTTGGAAAGAAGACATCTTGCATGTATCTTGATGATTCCTAACCCACGAAGTACACATTATGTGTGACTGAAAAACAAGTGATGTCTGGAAGTCAAAGCCTTCTGAAGGTGGCACGGGGCCTTCTTTCTCCCACTGTATCATTTCTCCCAGTTTTCATAAGCATTGCATGCACATGGTCCAGTCAATGTGTCCTCCTAATTATTTGGTCTGTGCAACTGTCAAACTAAATCTCATTAACTAATCATACCCAATTTCATCCTGGAATCAACTCACCTGGTAGTCCTGGTGGTTTAAACCAAACCATGGCCTTGTCATGTCTCTCCACATGATGTGCTACTAAGTGAGAAGGTTACCACCTGAAAAATCAGTCAGCTTAGGAGAGGCATTTCACAATCTGTGTTGACTGAACTAGCCAGTTACAGTAGCATCATAAGGTAGCTGGCTTCTCAGAATGGCTCTCAGAAGCCAACTCTTGCATCTGCAAAGATGGGCCTGAGATGTGACAAGTATGTGCTTATTCTACATGCTCCTGAATTCAGAATGAAAAAATCTTTGGGTGGAGTGGGAAAATGATTGGCCTCTTCTTCCTGGTAAGGTGTGCTGGATAGCTTTAGTGTCAGCCTAACATACCTGGGTTGAGGGAGCCTCAGTTGAGGAATTTCCTCCATTGGACTGGCCTGTGGCCATGTCTGAGGAGCATCTTCTTGATGAGTGATGTGGGAGGGCCCAGCCCACTGTGGGTGGTGCCATCCCTGGGCAGGTGGGCCTGTGTTGCATAAGAAAGCAGGTTGAGCAGGGGCCAGGGGAGCAAGCCAGTAAGCAGTATTCCTCCATGGCCTGTGCTCCAGCTCCTGCCTCCAGGTTCCTGCCCTGAGTTCCTGCCTTGGGCTCATGAATGAACTGTGACCTGGGATATGTAAGACAAATAAACCCTTTCCTCCCCAAGTTGGTAGTGGTTAGAGTATTTTGTCACAGCAATGAAGAAACAAACTAGTACAGAAATTGGTACCGAGAGTGGGGTATTGCTGTGACAGACCTGACCTTGCTGTTTTAGGGAGGACCGTGGAAGTGTTTGGAACTTTGGGCTGGAAAAGCCATTGTGTGCTCAGAGTTTGTTGCTGTGGAACTTGGAACAGTTATGCTGAAAGAGTTGTAGATGATGGAGGCCTGGCTTGTGAAGCTTCAAGGGAAAGCAGAGACTATTAGGGCTGTTTGTATGAGATTTTGGATTGAGAATCTGTGGAAGCTGAAGAATC